CCTGAACCCAGGAGGCGGAGGTTGCGGTGAGCCGAGATCGTGCCATTGCACTCCAGCCTGGGTAACAAGAGCGAAACTCCGTCCCAAAAAAAAAAGAAAAGACTTCAATTACACAGCTATGACATTTTCCCCCTTTCTTAATAACAGACACTCTACAATGTTTGTCATTGTATTTATTGTCCAGGCAAAGATTTTCGAATTCCAGCCAGTGAGTAAACAGCTAAATGAGTATGACTGTGTGTAACACCCTACCTAAGATAATGTTCATGTACAAGATATATAAAGCTGGCTTTCTTACCAATAGTTTGTGATAAGCAAATGTGTAGCAAAACTTGCCATCACTAAAATTTTTTTAGCTGATGGAATGAATTGTCGTCTTGGGACGCTGACAAAGATGGTGAAACCCTGTCCTGCTTTTGTTTAAAATGCTCCTCAAAGCTCTGCAGTGATACCATTGTGTTTGGTTGGCAGGATGAGACGGGGGCATATCTGATTGACAGGGACCCCACCTACTTTGGTCCTATCCTAAACTACCTCCGCCACGGGAAACTCATCATTACTAAGGAGTTGGCAGAAGAAGGTAAGAGGACTGTTTGCACTGGGGGTTTTCAAAATTCAAGTTGAATCTTTAAAGTTGTTTTGCTGATTTAAATTTCGTTTGAGAGTTTCATCAAGCTCACATGCAGATATAGTTTTGGGTTCATGAAACTGCACAGGAAGCCTCCAGTTACCAGGCTTTTCTGAGGGAGTCCTGTTTAAGGAAGCCTCCTTAGGCTCTGTTCAGCTTCTTGGTGAGAAGGAAGATAGGTAGCTCAGCTTTGGAGATAACTTCAGGAGTTCTTTCCAAATCTCTAGAATTGTCACGATCCTTTTTTTTTTTTTTTTTACATGTATTTGTTTGCTGGCAGTGAGTGCCTGTAGTCTGAAGAACCAACACATCCCTGACATTCAGTTATTTATAGTTTCAATTTTGGTTTGAACTCGCAGTTGTACAAAAATAATAAAGGCTTGGCCTCATTTCTTTTAAGACTCTGGCCTCATGCTTCCCTGTAAATGTTTGCAGCTGACCTAATTCATTCTCTAGTTCATTGTCAGGTGTATCATCAGTGGCCTCATCTTTTGGTTTGTAGGGCATTGGAACTGTAAGTGGGTCTAGTCCACTTTCTACAAGGCTTGGCATGGTCCCACTGAAGGCATTCAGTTGTAAAGGGGACTGTCCCTAAATCCAGGGCACCCCGATCTGAGAGCTTTGGCTCTGAGTAAGAAAGCTTGTAATGGCTGTACTAGTTAATGAAGTGACTGCAAAACAACTCTGTTTCAGCCAGTAAAAAGAGGAATTGCCCTTTCTCTTTTTTTAAATGTCTGTTTTTAAACAATATTTCAAATGCATACAAAAGTGATGGGAATAGTACAGTGAATTCCGTGCATGCACTATCCAGCTTCAACAATTACCAACTCCTGGGCAGTCTTCTTTCTTTTTTAAAAAAAATTTTTAATTTTTGGGAGTACATAGTAGGTATATATATTTATGGAGTATGTGAGATTTTTCTTTTCTTTTCTTTTTGAGATGGACTCTCCCTCTGTTGCCCAGGCTGGAGTGCACTGGCATAATGTCAGCTCACTGCAACCTCTGCCTCTGGGTTCCAGAAATTCTCCTGCCTCAGCCCCTCAAGTAGCTGGGACTATAGGCATGCGCCACCATGCCTGGCTAATTTAATAGAGACAGGGTTTCACCATGTTGGCCAGGCCGGTCTCCAACTCCTGACCTCAGGTGATGCACCCACCTTGGTCTCCCAGAGTACTGGGATTACAGGCCTGAGCCTCCATGCCCGACCTGAGATGTTTTGATACAAGCATGCTGTGTGAAATAAGCACATCATGGAAAATGAAGTATCCATCCCCTCAAGCATCTATCCTTTGTATTACGAACAATTCAATTATCCTCTTTTAGTTAAGTATGTTTTCTAACGCCTTTAATTAAAAAACTGTAGTTTGAAGTAATTTAAAACTTAGAGAAAAGAGTAAGAATAACACAGACAACTCCCTTTATCCCAGATTAACCAATTTTCAATGTTATTTTGGTCATATTTGGGGTTTGGGGAGATTTTGTTTGTTTGTTTTTTTAAGAGTCAGAGTCTCGCTGTCTTGCCCAGGCTGATCTCAAACTTCTGGCCTCACATGATCCTCCTGCCTCAGCTTCCTGAGTAGCTGGGATTACAGGTGAGAGCCATCACACCCAGCTTTTTTTTTTTTTTTAAATCATATTTGCATTGTCCTTCATCCTCTCTTTTTCCCTCTTCCTCCCCCATCCTCTTGCCTCTCCCACCACAATTCTTTTTTCTTTAAAGATGGGGTTTCACCATGTTGACCAGGCTGGTCTTGAACTCTTGACCTCAGGTGATCCACCCACCTCGGCCTCCCAAAGTGCTAGGATTATAGACGTGAGCCACCGTGCCCAGCCCACAAGTCTTTTTTTTTTTTTTTTTTTCCCACAAGTCCTATTTCTAAACCATTTAAGAATAAATTGCAGATTTCACCCCTTAATATTTGTATGATTTCCCAAGAACAAGGATATTCTCTTATATAACCACAGACAATACAGTTATCAAACTCAGGAAATTTAATATTGATACTTTTATATACAGCTTATTTTGTTAGTTGTCCTAATAATGGCCTTTATAGCAAATTTGTTCCTGTATGATCACACATCTCATAGTTGTCCTAAGGCCTTTGAATTAATTTAGCATGGGAGTCTTCAACGATTGCCTTTTATGTTGTTTGTTTATTTATTTATTTGTTTTTTGTTTTTTGTTTTTGAGACGGAGTTTCGCTCTTGTTACCCAGGCTGGAGTGCAATGGCACTATCTCGGCTCACCGCAACCTCCGCCTCCTGGGTTCAGGCAATTCTCCTGCCTCAGCCTCCTGAGTAGCTGGGATTACAGGCATGCGCCACCATGCCCAGCTGAATTTTTGTATATTTAATAGAGACGGGGTTTCACCATGTTGACCAGGATGGTCTTGATCTCTTGACCTCGTGATCCACCCGCCTTGGCCTCCCAAAGTGCTGGGATTACAGGCTTGAGCCACCGCGCCCGGCCTTATTTATTTATTTATAAAAAGAGACGGGGTTTCACCATGTTGGCCAGGCTGGTCTTGAACTTCTGACCTCATGATCCACCCGCCTCAGCCTCTCAAAGTGCTGGAATTACAGGTGTGCGCCACCGCTCCTGGCTTATGTTGTTTAAATGATTAGCATCCTATTAATTTTGGTCCACATAAATTTGTACACACACCTCCACCCCCACCACCCCAGTTTTCTTAAAGGCAAATTGGGCACATCAAGTTCAGGAGGTGTCCAACATGATTAGCTCCAGGAACTAAGTGACATATGGGAAAGGTATCCTGCAGCTAATGGGCAGGTGCCAGGTAGAGGAAGGAGGATTGAAATGGAGTAAGCAGAGCATACCCTGGCGTTTGGCTAATTTATGTTGGAGAAAAGGTCATGGGCATACCGAAAATAGCAAAGAGAGATTTCCTAGGCAGAAGGAGAGAGATTAGATTTGCATTTAAATAATGCTGTTTTTAGGCCAGGAGCTGTGGCTCATGCCTGTAATCCCAGCACTTTGGCAGGTCAAGATGGGCGGATCACCTGCGGTCAGAAGTTTGAGACCAGCCTGGCCAACATGATGAAACCCCATCTCTACTAAAAATAAAAAAAAATTAGCTGGTGGCGGGCACCTGTACTCCCAGCTACTCGGGAGGCTGAGGCAGGAGAATCGCCTGAACCCAGTAGGTGGAGGCTATGGTGAGCTGAGATCACACCATTGCACTCCAGTCTGGGCAACAAGAGTGAAACTCCATCTGGGGGGAAAAAACATACAAAAATTAGCCTGACGTGGTGGCCCGCACCTGTATTCCCACTTACTCGGGAGGCTGAAGCAGGAGAATCGTTTGAACCCAGGAGGTGGAGGTTGCAGTGAGCCGAGATCCCACCACTGCACTCCAGCCTGGATGACAGAGTAAGACTCTGTCTCAAAAAATAAGTAAGTAAATAAATAAATAAATAAAAGCAGTTTTTAGCAAGCATGTAACCTTCAACCTCTCCTTGGTGTTTTCCTGGCAAACTCACACACATGTCTGACTGCAGTTTGGTCCTTGTTCCAGGTGTGCTGGAGGAAGCGGAGTTTTACAACATCGCGTCCCTTGTGCGGCTGGTTAAGGAAAGGATACGGGACAATGAGAATAGAACTTCACAAGTAATGTGTTTGGAACTGTTAAGGGGGGGATGTCTCAAGGGGCCCTCTGTCAGTTGTCTGTAATTTGAAAAGGATGCCTTTCCCCTTAGAGCTGGAGGTCTGTGTGGAGCACTGTCTGTTCGCAATGCAGGGAATGCACACTCAGCCAAACTGCACAGCAGAAAACAGGAAAGAAGAAACAACAAAGAAAACAGAATAGGCCTATGTTCCAGTAGAATGAGAAGATTGTGGCTGCTCACCAGATGGCAGGAGGCGGTGCCCAGGGCACTTAAGGTCCACAACCTATTCTTTCTGACCGAGCATGCCTCCCTCCTAAAGACTGTCGAGGTCTTGGTTCCACCTGTTGGCCACTCTCTGTGGAGACAAGCCTTTAGCACGTAATCCAGTCACATACAGCTCCTACTTTGCAGGCTCAAGTGATTCTTCCACCACAGCCTCCTGAGTAGTTGGGACTACAGGTGCAAGCCACTATGCCTGGCTAATTTTTTGTATTTTTGGTAGAGAGGAGGTTTCGCTTTGTTGATCAAGCTGATCTCAAACTCCTGGGCTCAAGTAGTCCACCCACCTTGTCCTCCCAAAGTAATGGGATTACAGGTATGAGCTGCGCCTGGCCTTGATTTTTATATTAACTCACATATAGTAACAAGAGTGAAAGGGAATTTGCCCACCTAGTTAGAGGAATGGTGTTAGGGCATGCCTATTTTACATCTTGCCATTCATCATGTGTTTGAATGGCCATAATAGCTTCTGTTAGGCCCTTGGGATTCTATAAGTAATTGAAAGTCCTTGCTGTCAAGAAGCTTGAAGTCTAGCCAGAAAAATAGACCCTCTCTTTCATGCATTTAAACTTTGTTTTAAGAAACCGCAACTTTGGAATTAAGAGGTCTTGGGAAAATTAGAAAAAAAAGAAAAAGAAAAACTGCAGGTACAGAATTAACAGTAAGAGAGGGCAGAGTCTTACTTCACCATGACTACCTATCTTGTAGCATAATTGCGTTTTATCCTATCAGATACTGGTGGTAGATGCTTTAGGTGTAATCTATTGCAGCACAGAATTTTCCTGCCATTAAGAAGGCAGTACGTCTCTTTAATTTTTTTCTTTTCTTTTTTTTTTTTTTTGAGACAAAGTCTCGGTCTGTCACCCAGGCTGGAGTGCACAGAGATGGAGTTTCACCGTATTGGCCAGGCTGGTCTTAAACTCCTGGAACTCAAGTGATCCACCCACCTGGGCCTCCCAAAGTGCTGGAATTACAGTCGTGAGCCACCATGTCTGGCATAAGTTTCTTTTTAAAAGTAAAAAATAATGCCTGTCCTTTTTGTGTTAGACTTCATGTTTCAAAGTTCTCTGGCTCTAAGCCAGGTGCGGTGGCTTACGCCTGTAATCCCAGCACTCTGAGAGGCTGAGGTAAGTGGATCACTTGATGTCAGAAGTTCAAGACCAGCCAGCCAACATGGTGAAACCCCATCTCTACCAAAAATTGGCCGGATGTGGTAGCAGACGCATGTAATTCCAGCTACTCTGGAGGCTAAAGCAGGAGGACCTCTTGAAACAAGATAGCGGAGGTTGCAATGAACTGAGATGGCACCACTGTACTCCAGCCTGGGCAACAGAGTGAGACTCCATCTCAAAAAAAAAAAAAAAGTTTTCTGCCTCTAAATGGAATATCTGGATGAGTAACTGACACTAATGATGAAAAATTAACCCTCTTACCCACTGTCTCCAGCAGTTTGCAAAGGTGAAGAGAAGGGCTTATTTACTTAGTTTTCTTTCATCTGGCTTACAGCCGAAAGGCTCCTTTTTGATGTTCAAAGGTGGCTTTGTAGTTGGTTTGCAGATTATTACTTGAAATGTGATCCACTGTCACCAGTCTCTTTGGTATCTTACATTTATGTGGTATTTTTTCTATTGTAGATATTTAATAGTTTAGACATTTTGGTAATACAGTTTTATCTTCAATTTTCCACATTCTAAAAAATGACTGCTTACTGTAAATTTTGATGATACCATGAATTTTGTAATTTGAAATGATTCAACTCGTGGTACCTGAACATTCTCCCTTCTTCGTCATCAGCTGATTCCTAGAGAGCATTGTAAGATTTCTATTTGATGACCACAATTAAATTAATTCGTCTTGTAGATTCTGAAGCCTTGTGGATTCATACCCCTTTGGAAGCTTTTTTGTTCTAGGAATGTCAAGACCTTTTTGATCTTAACCGATCTTTCCATCTGTCCTTTTTATGTAGTGAAACTGAAAATGAATGTGATGTTATTCAGAGACACCCTCTTTGGAACTTGTCGTACATGGCTGTAAGATGAAGTTGGCCGTGTGTGGATTTTCAAACACGTTATCTCTTTGAACTTACTTGTAGCCCTTCACACATGCAGCATTCAAGCCAAGCCCAAGATGTGGACCTCGACCCCACCTTTGTTCTTAGCTCTTAGTGGCTGCCACATAACTACTTTCCTATTTCTTTTTCCTTTTTTTTTTTTTTTTTTTTTGAGGTGGAGTCTCGCCGTGTTGCCCAGGCTGGAATGCAGTGGTGCAATTTCAGCTCACTGCAGCCTCTGCCTCCTGGGTTCAAGCAATTCTCCTGCCTCAGCCTCTTGAGTAGCTGGGATTATAGGCGTGCACCACCATGCCCAGCTAATTTTTGTATTTTTACTAGGGACAGGATTTCCCTGTGTTGGCCAGGCTGGTCTCAAACTCCTGACCTCAGGTGATCCACCCGCCTCAGCCTCCCAAAGTGCTGGGATTACAGGCGTGAGCCACTGTGCCCAGCCCAATTGTTTTATAGTACAAAATGTAGAGTATCACAAAAGTTCTGGGACGTTGGCCACAGTTGTCAAAGTCCCAGTTATTTAAGATGCCATTATATTGCCTCTTTTTTTCTCTCTTCCAAAGTAAACCACTGGTGCTCTCAAATGCACCAAGAGCAATCACCTGCAAAAAATACTATCATAAGAAATAGAAGGCTGGGTATGGTGGTTCATGCCTGTAATTCCAACACTTCGGGAGGCTGAGGCGGGCAGATCACCTGAGGTCAAGAGTTCAAGACCAGCTTGACTAATGTGGTGAAAGCCCATCTCTACCAAAAATACAAAAATTAGCCAGGCGTGGTGGTGGGCGCCTGTAATCCCAGCTACTCGGGAGGCTGAGGCAGGAGAATCTCTTGAACCCAGGAGGCAGAGGTTGCAGTGAGCCAAGATCGCAGCATTGCACTCCAGCCTGGGTGACAAAGCAAGACTCCATCTCGAAAACTGATAATAATAATACTAATTTTACCTTATTTTTGACTTGGGGAAATGGATTAAATCTAAGTTCATCAACATAGTTGCTCAATCATTCATCCCTCTGAAGTTCAGAATTATTTTACCTTTTTTTTTCTTTCTTTCCTTGGATAAGTTTTTATTGAAAAGCCACAGTATCCTGGCTTGTGGTCATCTAAAAAGAAAAACATTTTTTAAAGGGGGAGGGGGGAATAGAAACGCTACAGTACTATTTGTAAAAGGGGATAGTGGGTGGCTGCCAAGAAAAGATTTCCAAGCAAACTCCTTTCAATTCAATGTTGATTCATTTGAAGAGCCTCCTCAGGGCACCTGCAAACTGTGGTGCCCTTGATGTTCTCAGTCTGTGCCTGGTCGTTGCAGGGCCCTGTGAAACATGTGTACAGAGTCCTGCAGTGTCAAGAAGAAGAGCTCACACAGATGGTCTCCACGATGTCCGACGGGTGGAAATTCGAACAGGTACATCTCTTACAGTGCAGCCACCCCAGACCCCAGGGGGTCTGCAGCTCTTTGAACAATCACTGTAGACGGCCAGTTAATAACCCTGGGAGATGGGTAGGGCCAGGTGGGATTCTTTTCCAAAACATGGACAAAGAGCCATTCAGTGGGCACTGCTGGTCAGTGTTACGTGAGGAGTTGGGGGAACAGAATTCAGTGGGCACTGCTTCTCCGTGGCACATGAGGAGCAGGGAACGGAGATTCGGTGGGCACTGCTGCTCCATGGCACACGAGGATTTGGGGGAACAGAGGAGCTTCATGTCTTAGCTTCACACTCAGACTTTGCAGTGGGGGTCAGCGAGCACTTGAGGCTTCAAAGTGCCTCCCTTTGGTTTGTGTTTCCCCACAGGGATTCTAGAATAAGTCCCTAAAGGAGACTGGGATTCGACAACAAGCCTTCCATTTCTTTTCCCAAAATCAGGGCTTTTTGGTTCTGAATGTCTGTGTAATCCACCACGAAGAGCTTGGTGAACAGCTGTGTTAGGAAGGGATCAGGCACCGTGGGAAATGTGGTGAGGCCGTTTCCCCCACTTCGAGTTTACGATTAAGCTATCAAAACAAAGCTGACAGTAGGAGCTTCACTGTTTTCCTCCATTAGATGGCAGACTTGTTCAGTTGTCTTGTTGCCTTCAAAACACGGGAAGGCCAGACCAAATAGAGTAAATATGATTTTATATGGATTATGCCTACTTACGTGTAGAGTTTTAAGAGGTCAACAGCTGTCTCACCAGATGCTTACCTTCTAAAAGAAAATGCACACTTTGCATTAATGGTATGATCTTATGGATCAAGTGCAAAGCTGTCTCTGTCTTCAGAGCCAGTGCTGATTATTCTTCACGCTTAGCTTCCACCACGGAATCCACTCTGCCTGTGCTGTCAGCCTGGTTCTTACTGGGCGTGGGTTGTAAAACGTTGCCAAGAGTTTAATGCCCTCCACTGCAGAAGTATTTTTCCTGATACGAGGTCTTAAGCAAATGATTTTTTAAAAATTATTCTTTGTGCAACTAATGAATAATTTCTTGTTACATCTCTCATCTTATTACTGTCCTGTGGGAGGACTGAGGGTGTTCTCATTGCCTCCCTTCTGGATGAGGAAGTTAGTTTCAGCCAGGCGGAAGCGCCCTGAGCCCCATCCTTCCGCAGTCAGCCATGCCGCCCACATGACGCCTCACCTGCTCACTGGGATGCCCTTACTCTCTGCCTGAGCTGCTCCCCTGCATGTGTATTTCCCCTTTAGAATTAAATACTGAATTTCATTCTCCAATAGGGTTAAAAGTACTACGCGGTGGCTCACACCTGTAATCTCAGCACTTTGGGAGGCCATGGTGGGAGGATCGCTTGAGTCCTGGAGTTCAGAGGCCAGCCTGGGCAACATAGTGAGACCCCACCCCTTTATGAAAAATAAAAGAATTAGCCAGGCATGGTGGCACACACCTGTAGTCCCTAGCTACTTAGGAGGCTGAGGTGGAAGGTTCACTTGAGCCCAGGAGGTGGAGGCTGCAGTGAGCTGTGATTGCACCATTGCACTCCAGCTTGGGTGACAGAGCAAGACCCTGTCTGGAAAAAAAAAAAAGTACCAGCACCATGTGACTTCCAGTAGCTGATCAGTGATTCACTTGGTGCTTTCCAGAGCCTTCTGAGTACCAGTCTCCTGTCTACAGCTTCTGCTGAAAGAGGAGCCAGCTCTGTGTGTGACTGAAGCACGTGTCCATTTTGTTCACAGATGCGTTGTCTCTCCCCTTGGTGTGATGAAGGGAGTGTGGGTGTGTTAATCCGGCCACTGCCTGTGGGGGGGGACTTCAGAGCTTGGGTGAAGGAACGGTGCAGGAGCTCATACTTTTCCCCTGGGGAAGCCTCACTGAGGATGCCCTGATGAAGAACAGGCCCATTTACACCCTGGGGCTTTGGTGGTCCCAGAGAATTCTTTATCCTTTGAGAAGTAAAACAGAAGTTCGGTCGGTGGAGAGGCGATTTGTGTAGCACTTTACTGTGTTAAGATCACTGTGTGCATGTTCACTGTATTCTTGGCTCATCAGCTCATCAGCATCGGATCTTCCTATAACTATGGCAATGAGGATCAGGCAGAATTCCTCTGTGTTGTCTCCAGAGAACTAAATAACTCTACCAATGGCATCGTCATAGAGCCTAGCGAAAAGGCGAAGGTAAGGAACCCCTCCCCAGGCAGCTGCCTCTGGCCTGCTTGTTCGCAGCCCCTCCGTGGCATTTTCCTGAGCTCTTGCTCCTCACTTCTTCCCTGGCCTTCTAGAGCCAGCGTGGTGTTTTCCCCTCGTTTTGTTGTTTTTGACTGTGTAATTGAAATTGGGATTTACGGAGCACTGACGGGTTTTTAGTTAGGAAATAGGAACCTAAAAAGGATAGGCTTTCTCCATCCCCTGCCAAATCAATGAAAAGAAAAGCTGCTTACCGCTAATTACTAAAGCGTCGGAATTCTGAACTCAGACTTGGAAAGTATTCTGCCTTTATTCTTTAAAACTTGTTTTTTCACTGCCTCAGGAGAAAAAGGGTGTTTTCTTACCTTTGTGACCTTTACCTTCCTTAAGTTCCTGGGAAATTGTTTGACACTGTTTCTTTTTTTTTTTNTTTTTGAGACAGGGTCTTGCTCTGTTGCCTAGGCGGGAATGCAGTGGCACCACTATGGCTCACTGTAGCCTCAGCCTCCTGGGCTCAGGCAACCTCCCGCCTCGGCCTTCCCAGAAACTGGGACCACAGGCACAAAGTACCATGTCCAGCATAGGTGTCTCACAGTATTGCCCAGGCTGATCTTAAACTGTTAGTTTCACGTGATCTTCCTGTCTTGGCCTCCCAAACTGTTGGGATTATAGGTGTGAGTCACAGTACCTGGCCTGCCAGTTGATTCTTACAGATGTTTTTGTTGATTTTTGCTGAACTCCTGTACCTGTATCTAAAGTTACAATTCAACCATGCTTTTACAAATTTTTATTTATGCTGGGCACAACATATCAGCTACAAACATGGCACTTTAGAATTTAATCTGCATTATTAACATTTTCTATATCACTTTCTTAAGTCTACATAAATCAACAAAATAATAAATTAAGCCTTGAAATTAGTAGCCTTTCACAGTTTCCATGGTATAAATACTCCATTGTGGCCATTGTCAAGTTAGCCACATGACATTGCTGGAGAGATGCAGAACAGCACACCATGGTATAGCATTTCCACCTCACAGATACGGTTGATGTAAAGAACCTTAAGAGCACAGGTAATAGACAGATATAGCATGGAGGTGATGAATTTCAAACACTTATTACCTTTGTAATATATAAAATATAAATAAGTTATATGTTACTTATATAGTTGTATATATGTGTATATCTATACTGTATATTGTAATATAACTTATTTAAATTTATATAATTTAATGTTTAATAATGTGTTTAACAATCAGCTCACAGAATTCCTGAAGATGTAAGCTTTGGTTTCTGAGAGCCAGTATAAGCCAACTCCCACACACCATTGAACCTGCCAAAATGAAAAGATAGCCAATACTAAGCGAGGCCATTTGACCTTACAATTTAATTCCTAGATATATATCCAACAGAAATATACAAATATATTCACCAACAATGTGTACAAGAATGTTCATAGCAACACTATTTGTAATAGGCTTGAAATGCAAGCAACCCAGAAGTTCATCAATAATAGAACAGTTAAATTATGATCCACTCAAAAACTAGAATGAACAAACTACTGTCACATGTGCCAATATGAATGAATATCATAAACATAATGTTGAGTGAAATAAGTCAGATCCAAAGGTATACAGGTTGTATGTTCATACTTATGTAGAGTTCAAAATAGGCAGAAGTAATCCACAGTATGAAAGTCAGGGCAGTGGCTCCTCATGGGGTCCGAGTCCAAGGGGGAATACAGTGTCCTGGTTATGTTCATTTTCTTATTTTGATCATTACAGGTATTTGTAGTTTGTGAAAATTTATTAAACTGTACAACTTAAGATCTGTGCACTTTTCTGTGGTTGTTACATTTCAGTGGTTTACTTTAAAACACTTAGAGCACCCCTGCTTAAATTTAAAAAAATAAACTGCAGAATACCTTTTCAGAAACCTGTTTTCATTTTCTTAGCCAGTATTATAACAGATCTTTACAACAGCAGCTGGGCTGGATTCCCAGTCAGAGCCTTTTGGGAATCTGGAGGGATGAGGGACACGGCCTGTACTTATAGGAAGGTGGAGCAAAGGAAAGAGGATTGTTCCTGCCCCGTGCCATGGCTTCACCCTATGTGTGCCACATTGGACGTTAGCAGCTGCTTTGGAACACCGCCCCTCCTGTGCACCCTCAAAGACCTGCAGCAGATGCAAAGGGTTCTAGCTGCAATTTGTCGAATTGAGGTTTTAGGTAAAGCATAGAGATGCCATAGCACACCACATTCCCATGAATGGAGCCTCCAAGGAAAGGGAGGATGGGATGTCTTTTATTGTGTTGATCGTTTCTCTGGATTTGGGGCTCTCAGCTGCCACCACGTGCAGCTTTGCCTCAGTTTTCTCCAGCAGCCGGGACCCTCTGGAGAGCTTGCTTTCCCTCCAGTAGGAGGTTTGAGACAGGCAGCATCCTGCCCTGAGTCAGCCAGCCAAGTGGGAGCTGTAGGGAGCTGGCGGAACTGTGCCTGCAGCCTCCTCTTGCCCCCATTGACCCTGTTACCTTCCCTGGCTTTTTCAACTGGACCAAAGATGAAGGGACTTAACGGACCTTTTGATGGCTTGGGGTGGGGAAGGCTGTTTCTTTGAAAGTTGCCAAATGTGTTACGTTGTTGTATCTCAAAGAGTTTTTATTTCTGTGGCTGTCTCGGAAATGCCTTGACTGAATGTGCAATATTTGTGTCTCTTCTTGGCTTCTGACCTTGACAAACCTGCTCCCCTCTGTGCTGTCCCCAGTGGTGCGTATATGTGTGCTAGACAGCTTGAGGACCCCCTGTGTCTCTGACCTTCCCTCACCTTACCCCCTTTTCTGGAGTGCCATGCTGGCGAGGATCCAGGGCAACAGCGCTGTCCTCTGGGCTGTGTCTGCAGAGCTTGTGTCCACACTTTTCTCTCCGAGCGTTCGGGTCTCGCTGAGCAGTCATGGAATGCAGTGAAGCCAGGGGACCCTGTCTGACCCCGATAACTTTCAGTAGCATAGCAGATGGCATGGAGAAGGCGAAGGGACTCTGGGGACTGCTCTTGTGAAAGCCGCCTCGAGCCAGGCTCTCCTGCCCACCTTCAGAGGCTATGTCCTCTGCTCCACAGCACAACTGCTTGCCAGGTGCGTCTGAGTAGTAATTTCTGGAAATGACTGTAGACTATGCCAAATGTCTTTAGCTTCTGATCTAACGATGCCCAGATGGCTTAACTTTTCCCTAGGACCCTCGCTCTCCGTGTTTCTCTGTATCTGTAGCATAGCACAGAACCCGGTATACAGGGGTTTCTGCTGACGCATCAGTGTCTACACACCTGTGCGCCACATTTTACAGCTGTAAAATGTTAGATGAACTGCCACCCTCTGTAAAAGCAGCCACCCCTTCAATAGAGTCACAGGCATCCATCCAGTCATATTTTTCAGGAAAAAAAAAAAGATTTAGCGATTTAGATGTAGCCAAGGAAAGTAGCAATTGCGGGAAGAGCCGAGGAGGTGGGAGGACTTCGGAAGAGGTGCTCCTTGGCCAGGTCCAGTGAGTAACGTCAGATTGACAGAAGGAAAGCAGCTTGCATTGGGGTCTTGTGCCTGTCTGCTTTCCTGGGACATGCCTGATCAGCGCGGGCTGGGGCTCCTAGTCCCAACCCCAGCTTTCTCACCAGTTTCAGCAAGGAGACCTGGCAGGCAGACACCAATGTCAGCACCTCCTAAGGGCACAGTTTCCTTCGTTCCTCTTCTCAGATTCCGCATTTGCCCCGGTGAAAAGACTGCAGTTGAGCCCCAAGCCACGTGCTCCGGGCAATGGGAGTGATATTTCCGCCCTCTGGGGGGCTGGTGTTCACCAAGTTTCCCTCCTCGCTGCAACCCAATGACAACTGTATTGTTCCAGTGCTCCAAGACTCTGAGGCCGATTGGTTTCTTCAGATTTCTGGGAGCGTTGTTCACCCACACCCTTTAGGAACCAGGCTGGTATTCTTGCCTGAAAGCCTTGTGCTCTCAGAGTGTCTGGCTAATCACGTCAGAGAGGTCTGCGTGGCAGTTTGGGGCTGTCACGTGACCGGTGACCCACACTCTGTGCTGCCCAGTATTGCCAAGTGGGGAGGGGCCTGCCTTTTTCTCTGCCCTCAGTCTGGGACGCAGGTGATGCCAGCTAGGTCCAGGAGCGCCTAGCATCCCTCAAGCAATGACACAGTAGCACTGATTCTGTCTTTTCCTCAGAATCTGGCCTTTTTCCATGACAATGAGGTGGGGCCCGGCCTCTAAAGTGGCTTCCTTTCTGCACAGTTGTAATGCTCTGGGGGTGTCAGCGAGGCCGGGGGCGGGGAGCCACAGGATGCTAAGGAGGAGGCCCAAGAGGACACCTGCACCCTCCAGTGTGGCCTTTGATCCGGACCTTCGGGACGAGGCTGTCACTGGTAGGTACCCTCTGTTCCTGTTTGTGTGTTTAAATAGTCTGAAATGCTGTGACTTTTTTTTTTGTCAATACAGCTAGGAAATAAACTTGTGAATCTCGAGAACTCTGGTGTGTTTTCCATCACTGCAGGCTCTGGGTTCCCACCATCACTTCCTGTCGAGGGTTCTCAGGACCCCCAGGGGTCTCGGGAGATGACTTCACCTTTCCCACCAGGGCAGCTGACCAAGTCCTTTTCTCCTGCTACTGAAACCGCCGAAGAGGGTGTTGAGCCTTCTCTCTCCTCCCTTTCGTTTTACTGAATCTGAAAAGACCCAGAGAGCGCAGAGAAACAGAAGGTGGGACAGATGGGCTGCCCACCAGAGAGCTGGAAAGAGACAAGGGGAGGAGTGTGACATGTGGTTTTTTGTTGGGTTTTTTTTTGAGATGGAGTTTTGCTCAGTCACCAAGGCTGGAGTGCAGTGGTACAGTCTTGGCTCACTGCAACCTCTGCCTCCTGGATTCAAGCAATTCTCCAGCCTCACCTCCTGAGTAGCTGGGATTAAAGGTGCCTGCCAAAATGCCTGGCTAATTTTTGTATTTTTAGTAGACACAGGATTTTGCCATGTTGGCCAGGCTGGTCTTGAACTCCTGACCTCAGGTGATCCGTCTGCCTCAGCCTCCCAATGTGCTGGGATTGCAGGCGTGAGTCACCATGCCTGGCTGTGAGATGGTTTTTAAGGACAATTCTTTCTGAAAGAGAGTGAGTGACTAGGTACAAAGAAGACAAGGAAGAGGATGAGTGAGAAACATTTGGTGTCAAGTAATCAGCAAACAAGTATTGATCACTTTAGCATTAGGCGGGGCGTGGGATCCTTAGAAGGTGTTAGTCCCTTCCCGACAGCACTTTCAGGTGTGGAGACAAGATGGACTCACAGCTTAGTGAACAGGGTATGTGGGTGCATCCGTCAGGGTCCAACTGGGAAACCACAGCAGTTGTTGCCTGGTAGTGGAGAAAGGAAAGGGCAGGGGTGGGCACTGAGGCATCACAAATGTAGGGATTGCGGGGTGCAGTCCTCACTTCTGGGACCTGTGAACAATAGGAGATTCAGGCCAGGTGCGGTGACTCACGCCTGTAATCTCAGCACTTTGGGAGGCCGAGGCGGGCAGATCACGAGGTCAGGAGTTTGAGACAAGCCCGACCAACATTGTGAAACCCCTTCTCTACTAAAAATACAAAATTACGCCACTGCACTCCAGCCTGGGCGACAGAGCAAGACTCGTCCCAAAAAAAAAAAAAAAAAAAA